ATCCAAGGGCCAAAAGTGCCGATCGGCTAAGAAAAGGGTGTCGAAATTTCATTGAAAATATGAACTGTTATAGAGGCACCATCTTTAATCGGAAGATCGTCCTTATCAGGGGCTCGGTGCATGCGTCATCCGCAGGTATGAATACATATTACTAGAACAGGAAGCGATAAACTGTTGATTTACGCTGTTTCTAACTCATATCAGGAAGTCCTTGTTGCGTAGCGTCATTAAAGTCGTTATAACTTTCTACATTATACCTGCATCTCGAAATTACCCAGAAAGTGCTCCAGTACCTCATCAATATACATACAAAGTGCTCCAGTACCTCATCAATATACACATACATATAATGCTGCATAAACATTTACCATATCCTTGTAGTAGGCTTTCTCGAGATATTATTTTTATAGTGTTTTGAGTAAATTTACTAGATCATTCAGGCCTCATTCGGCGTTCACCTATTATTTAAAGATCGTATACAGAATGTACTAACATCATTCTTCTTGTTGTTGTCTCTTGGTTTGTATACCAAAACTTCCATTTTCCTCAAATAGCTCTGTTTCTGAGTTACCTCTTGCTTGTACTCTTATGTTGAGAAAACAAAGTGAGTTTCAGGATCATGTATTGGTTTATAAAGTAATCACTTTTGAATGAAATAACCTCCTAGGTAAACTAATACACATCAAAACAATACCTACATCTGATCTGAGTTCGAAGCTGCAAGTCCGTAAGCAACGAGCCTGTTCTTAAACCCCGTTAGACGTTTTCATGAAATAAATTAAACAAAGGCTCTTACATTACAGCATTATTTTATTAAACTACCTTATAACTTATGAAGTCATAATGTTTCATAAAAAATTACAATTTTATAATGTTTCAGTGCAAAATTAATGTTTGTGATTAGAGGTAGCTTCAGAACTAAATATGTTGCGTGGAAATCTACAAATCTCATAAATAATGAGGTTTTGTAGAAATATATATTTCTGAATGAAAGTTAAAGAAATATAACCTTTCGCTCCATTAATATGAATCTCATTTTTTTCTTTTTTGTTCGTTTGAAGTTAAGCACAAACCTACACAATGAGCTATCTGTGCTCTGCCCACCACGGGGATCGAAACCCGGATTCTAGCGTTGTAAGTCCGCAGATATACCGCTGTGCCACTGGGGGGGGAGGCGTTTTTCTTTTTGCAAACAGGCTATCGCCTTATTGCTCCATATAAAGTTAAATAACCTTTTTCTGTTTTAATGTTGCTAAATAGCTGATTTAGAAATCTTTATACTTTTAATAGTTTCTTTAATGACTTTTTTATCTCCGATTTTCTTTAATTAAAGTATTTCATATGCTCTTCTATAAGGTATAGGTAATAGGTTATGAGTAGGGAACTCGAACAGACAGCCTGCTTGCAAAAAAGAAATCTTCATTTAAGCTCTACTGTAATATAAGGAATTAAATGGTTTCGTTTTCCTTTTTTCTTCAAGTAAAAAGTATAAATAATGTGCAAAACTTTTTCTCGCAAAAGAAACTTTAGTACATCAACAACTCCACAACTAGCAAACCTAACTTCAAACTATATAGAACATGTTAGTTAACAAAATGTTTTTTGTGTCAAATATACAGTCTTTGCCAAAATGTTTCTTGTGTCAAATATACAGTCTTTGCCAAAATGTTTCTTGTGTCAAATATACAATCTTTGGCAAAATGTTTCTATATCTAAATCTTTCTTATTAAGTTGGAATACAAATACACATAGTACTGTGAAACTGAGAAATGTATGTTATCTTAAATATCCACATACATAAATTGTATAACGAAACAGGTTCTATGGACATCATGAACGATTTATTAGAACAGCAAACAAGTTTATCAGACAGCTGTAGAAAGATGTGTAATTTAGCATTTCACCTATCACAACAAAACCTTACCAAAACATATATAATGACAAAATACACACGGCAAATTGTTATAAATGGCGTCTGTAACTTTAAATCAGTTTATACATATATAATAAAAAATATATATATAATATATATTATATATATTCAAAACATATATAATAAAAATGAAAAAATATATAACATCAAATTATTATATATAGCGTCAGTAACCTTATATTAGTTCATATTAAACATTCAATACTTGGTTGGCCCTTCTCGTACTATAACAACCTCCAAGGCGACGTGGCATGCTGTCCATCCGCCGTGATTTCATTCCAACTTATCACTATAAGGCGCTATAACTTGGATACAGTAATGGTTTAGGGTCGTGGTTAGCAATTTTCCGACTCAGTTCTACCCAACAGTTCTCAGTTGGATTAAAATCTGGAGACTTTTCTGACTATGGCATTTTTGTTATGTCCTTCTGGTCAATATAATCCTGTACAGTACGCACGTTGTGGGCAGTGGCATTGTTATCCTGGAACACAAGGTTATTGTCAAACATTGTCCTAAAATATGACAGAAATATAATCTCCATGCGATGCCTGTGGGAGTGGCCATTGACGTTTCCCTGGAGGATATGAAGAGCAGTTTTTCCACCATGATGAATAGCTGCCCAAACATGTACTGCACCACCTCCTGTGTGTTTCCTGTAAAAAGGCAGTCTTTTCTCCTCTGTTCTCCAGGCAAACGACCAAAACGAATCCTACCATCAGCTTTAACTAACAGTGTCCTAACTGTAAGTGAGCATACTGTCTTGCCCAAGTAGCATGATGATGGCAGTTAATTCTGGTTGATATTGATTTGCAGGTAGCCCTTCTTGCAAAATAACCTTATTTTTCAGTCTCCTATTCACTGTTCTTCTAGATAGAGGGAATAAATGGGTTCTTGCTATTCCTGTTGTAAGGTGTTGCAAGACTTCTTTTAACCTTGACGTGTTAACAAACCATGGTCATTCGGCGTCTACCAGTAGATTTTCCTGGAACAACGTTTCCTGTAGTCTGATGACGTTTCAGAATTCTGAATACTGTACACTGGGAGTACCCTACTGTTCTGGCAATGTCCGTTTGCTTCATACCATTTCTGGACAGTCGCACACTTTGACGCTCTATAACTTCTGGCACGTGACGAGGCATGACTTTACACCAAGTACAGAAAAAATGTCTGAACAAAGGTTTGATCAGTTTCTAAAAAGATTATACCAAAAGCACACCATTTATTCAAAACAGGTGTGTATTTGTGTTTTGACGAACAAATGCTCAAAACAACTTATGCAGACCAGAATAACAAGTCGTACATGTTTGTCCGATCATACGCTATCTTCTCTGTTACTACTCTGGCATTTACTCAATAACTACTCCACGCATGTAGACAACAACATCAATATCGAACATTTTGCAAACATTTTGGCCAAGAATGTGTAATGATATGAATTATCTTGAATCTTTTTGTCTTTTTTTTATATCAAGTATTTATTCCTGTCAATTAGAAATAGCAACCGATGCAAGAAGATCCTCCCGTTTGGTCTATTATCCTTGAGTGTTTATAAGCAACACCTATAAATACAGCTCCACAACTATGAATGTGTATGCCGTTGATTACACAATTACCCTTGAACCTCACGTTGCTCTTCAACGAAGAGAATCGTCCAATTATATTTTCCATTATATTTCAAGACGCTGTTCATATGTAGTGTCTGTTGCTTATGTGAAAACACAAGTAGCCAAAACAAATTCTCATTTTGTTTTAATTAAATAAACATTTGAAGTTTGGATAAATAAATTTCTTATTATACCACATTTTCACTCAGAACACAGAAAATCGACATTGCTAGCTTAGAGGCTAATGTTTAAAAATAACTGCAGTACTTGTATTTGTATTTAGGGTAAAGCTACAGAACTATCTACATACGTCACTAACTTAGAACTACTGACCAAAGGAAAAGCAATCAGTCAGCTGCAACCTACCAGCTACACTAAAGAATTAACAGAAACGTGATGACTCCGATTTTTGAAAAACTTATAACGAGTTTCAAAAAATGTTAACAGTTTTTAAGGAATTTTGACTAATAAGTACATATATTCACAGAATATGATCTACTAATCTGTACTGAGTTAAATTTGTAAATTCATAAGCAAATTCTAAGTAAAAGAAATGTTTTGAATTAAGTCAATTAACATACAGAACTTGTTGAGAAACTAATCTGCAAACGTCGAATTAACACTGATTTACATGATTTATACGTTTTTCAGTCTACAAATAATGACGAAACATGTGCTGGGAAGCTTAGAAGTAACCGTTCTATATCGGGTTCCCTCTGGAAGAGTAATTATTGTAATTAAATGTTGATTAACATAAATCAAAATAAGGGATAACCTATGGACTTTTTGTTCGATTCAATAAGTTTTTTATGCTTATTTGCATTATAAGCAAACTACTCTTATCCTTGAGATAATCATTTGTAATCTTGAGGATATTATTCTGGTATTATTCATTCATTTATGTTATGATTTTCGCTTAAATGATTGGGAGTTTTCGCATTTCTTCTTCGTTTCTGTTTCACTGATGTCCTGTGGAACATATTTTATGTATAACAATTATAGTTAAGTTTTAAAATCTTCAAATAGTGAGCTTTACAAAATGCTATAATGAATGTATCATAAACATCATGGTTTAGAATGAAAACGTGTAATATGCATTTTTTAATTCCTCTTTACAGAGAAGACGATTATTTTGTTATTTTATTTCACTTCCATCTAGTGAAGTGAAGCTTGGATCCTTTTATATTTTTATATCGTAAAGTTCCTAAACATATTAAAGATTTTGCGTTGGAGTGAAATCGAGAAAATCATAATAATATTTTTCATAGTCACCAGTTTGTTATATGAATTTTTGGAATATACGGTAGCGATAGGCTATTGTTTGGCTGAAAGATAATTTCTAAATAAGCAGTTGAATAAACGAAAGTGAGAAAGTTTATGTTATGTGTATATATATTTGTTATTCTGGTACCTGAACTTGAAGTAAGTGGAAATTGGTCGATTTAACGTAAGTCACACAAGTTTATTAATTCGCAAATAGTACAATTCTCTGTATCACAAACCAAATAACTTCTGTTACATACAATACAGAATGTTATAGATTTTTCACTTTACAATACTAATCCGAATTTTACACAAGAAGCAAAAATAACTCAAAAATTCAAAGTTCAACAAAGTAAGTATGTTTGTTAATTGTTATGGCCGAGTGTGCCTGAACTAAAGAGCCCCATAACTTAGTACAGACACATCTGCCTGACTGCTTTCATTTTACTTATACAGTTTAAAGCTAATTCTTGCCACCTTCATATTAAGGTATTTTGGGAGACATTTTTATTTTCCACTGAAGTGGCTGTGCAAATAATGGTGTGCCAATTGATGATGTGAGAAACATTTTATTCCATCTAATGACGACCTGGTTTACCTGAACATTAGAGAACGGTTTCATTAGTTGTGGTGCGAGGCCCATTAACCATGCTGTATCTGGACGAACTCCAGCGCCTGTTCACGAGGAAACCTACCATGAACAGGTCCTTGAAAGTCTCGCGGAACTGTCGACTCATGCCACAGTAAATAGCAAAGTTGAAAGGGTAACTGAGCATTATGAAGAAGTTTGTAAACAAAATTGTAGCATTTAGATCATTGTAGTTGGAAATATCAAGATTTAAGGCATTTCGCATAACGTGAAGCAAACTAGTCACCGCCAGAGGGATCTCCACAGCAAGAAATACAGTGACCACTACGATTAGCATTAGTGTTGTGCAACTGCTTTCTCGTTGCCTCTTATATTCACTTTTGCTGTTCTCATTGAATAGCCTTTTCCGTTTCCTCTGTGCTTCTTTCATGGCACGGAATAGCAGTATGTTGAGAACTACCAGAGTTGCGCAGGGGCCCACATGTACAAAAATAATGCGAAAAACATAGTAACATATGTAGTATATGTTCTGCGTTAATACCCCTCCGACCCAGCGAGCCGTCTCTGCTACACAACCCATGTGGGCCTTTCCTTGCCAGCGAAATTCAACGGGCAAAAATACCCTATCAAATATCCTTGTGGACTGGTGCAGAAAAGCCAACACGTAAACAAAGATCATAGCTCGAGTAACGCGGGAGACTGTGCACCAGGTGTGAGCTGTGGTGGGATAACAAACATAAATGTACCTATGGACCGCTAATACTAGGGTCAGCCAAATGGAAGCGGTATGGAAGAATGCGGGTATTACTTCGTACATGTAGTGGTAAGAGTAGCATGCAGCGGGTGGGAACAAGAGTTTATTATAATTACCCAGAGTATACATGTAAAAGTACCAAGGTGCAGGGAATAATAAAGTTAGGAGGTCCGAAATGGCCATGGCCAGTAGTAACAAGTTTGTCGGGGTTCTCATGTGGCGCTGAGCCAGAACAACCACAATTAAAGTATTAGCAACAATCGTAACCAATAGTAATGAGGGCATTATGTATCCGAACAGGGGCATAGCATATTCGAATGGTACGTCCTGTGTAATATTTAGGAGATGTATGTCGGATAAGTTGGGAAGATTATATATTTCTTTTGTATTATTTATATCTTCTTCGAAACATTGTGTAAGCAGCGTCTTTCTGGTGTCTAGAATAACGTCATCAATAGCATATGCAGACCCTGCATAGGTTTCTCCCATCACTAACTAAGGTACAATAAAAAAAGCAAGTTTTAAAAGAACAGCAAACTTTGCTTTACTGGCGCTTGACAATACGAGATTTGCTTAATAATAGTTAATTGCCTAGAATGTATTCTCTCAAATTATTCAAAATTTATACTCAAGGGATTTTATTACTTGAGTGGACGTTTTTAAAGTAAGTACAATGTCACCACCAAGTGATAAAAGATATTTACAGTAAGACTCAGCTCTAAGTCGTCTTGCTTGATGTTTTCTTCTTTATACAATGCAAATCTCTTCATAAAACACGTGGACACCTTTGGATATTCTTGTCAACCTGCAAGCATAAACCATAAAGTTAGAGAACGATTTAGAAGGACATTTTTTTTTCTAAGAAAATGCTTTAAAATTAGAAGTATCCGTATTATTACATTATTTCGTAATGTTACATTTTACGGCGAATAAAATGAATATAAATATTGGGCTGGTCTGTTGCATAATATTGTAAATAAGCGACACTAAATAAATTCAAGATAACTTTAAAAGCAGAAATATAAAAGTTCCATAGAAGTACTCTAACAATTGATATTTAATTTCATAAGATGTCAAACTCAGTGACAGTTACTCTAGTGATGAATTATAAGATCAGATGTTAAACTCAATGAAAATTACACTTGTAATTCATACTGAATTTCTCTAGTGATGAATTATAAGTTTATCATAAAAGTCAGATAAATAAAATAACAATGCCATGTTGTTGGTTTTAACTTGGTACATAAGCTCCTTCATAAGACATTAAATCCGTCAAGAAAACTATTTCTGTTCTAACGAACTCCTAATTTGCTCGTAACATTTAAACCATAAGAACTTCTATCATTTTATATAAGACATCCATATATCTCTAGGAACCATGTTGTTGCAATAAGAACCGTTCAACACAGTAGAGTTATTAACCTCTAGTCACCATCTTGGCCTTCAAAATATCAGTAGTCTGATACCAAATACAACTGAATAGAAACACCACGACGGTACCTTCAGCAGATACTCTGACAGGCATATGCTGTAATTTATCTGCATAATACTTCAACGTCGCGGTTCGACAAGGAATTAAAATTAAATATTATTATAACAATTTTTCTAGTTAATCTTACTTAAGTAAGAAAGTTAGAAGTAGTTCAGAGTAATTTAACGAAATATTAGGCGATAAAAATTTGCTTCACGTACGATGTTTGTACTAAAATTATTTGACTTCTAAAAACTGTTTAGCAAAAAAAATGGATGTATACGGGACCGAATCCTCCTGATATATACTGGATCGAATCCTCCTGCTATATACGGGACCGAATCGCCCTGATATATACGGGACCGAATCCTCCTGATATATACAGGACCGAATCCTCCTGCTATATACGGGACCGAATCCTCCTGATATATACGGGACCGAATCCTCCTGATATATGCAGGACCGAATCTACCTGACATATACAGGACCAAATCCTCCTGATATATACGGGACCGAATCCTCCTGATATATACAGAAGTTTCTGTAAGTACTCTGTCTTCCAAGATCAGAAGTCTATGTAAGTACTCTGTCTTCCAAGATCAGAAGTCTATGTAAGTAATCTGTCTTCCAAGATCAGAAGTCTGTGTAAGTACTCTGTCTTCCAAGATCAGAAGTTTCTGTAAGTACTCTGTCTTCCAAGATCAGAAGTCTCTGTAAGTACTCTGTCTTCCAAGATCAGAAGTTTCTGTAAGTACTCTGTCTTCCAAGATAAGAGGTCTCTGTAAGCACTCTGTCTTCCAAGATCAGAAAAATTTCTGTAAGTACTCTGTCCTCCAAGATCAGAAGTCTATGTAAGTACTCTGTCTTCCAAGATCAGAAGTTTCTGTAAGTACTCTGTCTTCCAAGATCAGAAGTCTCTGTAAGTACTCTGTCTTCCAAGATCAGAGGTCTCTGTAAGCACTCTGTCTTCCAAGATCAGAAGTCTATTTAAGTACCCTGTCTTCCAAGATCAGAAGTATATGTAACTACTCTGTCTTTCAAGATCAGAAGTATATGTAACTACTCTGTCTTTCAAGATCAGTAGTTTCTGTAAGTACTCTGTCTTCCACATCTAGAAAGTTCTGTGAATGCTTCATCCTCCAAGAATAGAGGGCTCTGTGAACATACGATAGGTTTGTTTGTAATTAAGCACAAGGCTACACAATGGGCTATCTGTGCTCCCCACCACGGGTATCGAAACCCGGATTCTAGCGTTCTAAGTCCGCAGACATACCGCTGTGCTACTGGGGGGCCATACGATAGGCAAATAGTAGAGAACGTAGTGACAGTTTCATCCCGCTAGAGTTGACAATTAAGTCATTAAAATGTTTCTTTTATTCAGCGCACTCCTCCAATAGCAGACCAGTCATCCTACCATATCATTTCCGGTATCATAAGTAACTTCAATCTTCACATTTCACTGTTTGAAGCCAAGAAAATTGAGCTTCTGCATCACTCTTCATAGAATATAATTAAAACTATTTTAACGTTTGTTTTTCAAGGAAAACATGATACGTAGCTACAGTATTTCCACACTACACAAGCTGTTTTGTGAAACCAATTCACTAACAGTTGCCATCAATCCTTTTAGATGTAAGCCCGTGTTGACAAAATCATAAAATATGATATTTATTAATGTGAGCCTCATCTATGAAAAAAGCGATCTTCTAGGTTTAACGTAGTGTTTATCGTTGCTATGATAAAAACTCAATAGTGCTTTTATATAAAATTACTCATGTATCTGAACAACCGAACTTAATTTTAAGTGACTGCTACCATAAGCCATATTAATAACAACAAAATCGCAACAACTATTAATACCAACAATCATTGAAATATCATATGCTAATAATCAGAGAGTTGAGTACATTATATGAAAATGATTTTTAGTATCCAAATTAGCAGACCACGTAAAAACAACTGATATAATGTTAGAACTACAGTTTAAAATTACCTGATGTATCATAAAATGGTGTGACGTCACCGAAAATTGATCGCTTTTAGGAAGAGTACGAACAGCCTTTTCCTATGTAAAATATTCGTAAGCTCAAATAATAAAGATCGGAGCTATGTGAAGATACACGGTTGGCAGACAGACTGACGAGACATAACGACGTGGACGATAACGAGGTAGAGATGCTCCAGAATTGTTTTAATGTAAGGTACTCAGCCTCTGTAGATCAAAAACACAGAAAAAAGAACAGTAAGATTCAATACAGTTTTTGGCTATAATTGTAGTATAAATGAACTGCTCATGTTTGGTATATTCTGGTTT